TGGTCCGATTACAAATTAAACCTTATCACATGATCAAACAACGCCACAACCTTAAACCCATATGGTGCGGCAGGCAGCTTAGTGATCAGTAGCGCCGCGCCAACAACCGAGAGGTCGCCGGTTCCAATCCCCGAGCCTACCAGGCGAAAAATCTGCCGATGTGCCCTCGAGCAAGGCACTCAACCCCAATCGCTCCTGCAAGTCGCTCTGGACAAGAGCATCTGCCAAATCACCAAAAATGCAAATGTAAATATTCTCTACTTTCTCACCCATCTCATCCCTCGTCAGAAACCCACATGCACCTCTCAAATAATCACCCCGTGGTGTTCCCAGCCAACTCCAGTCTTTCCTCGCTCCAAAAGCCACAGTTTCGCTCTCTCCAGCCCCTCCCCTCGCAACTCTCTCTTCAGCTTTTGAGGAGCTGTTTTTCGTTTTAGTGTTCCAAATATTCTGCCGTTATTTAAACTACTTTAGTCTATTTATTTAAAACAAATCATTCCCACCTAATTAGTTAAAGTTGGTGCATATTTATTTTTCAACGATAAACCGAATTATTTCAGTCTAATTGTTTAACCAGTATTTTGCAGGGTCAAACATCAAACGTTAAATCAAATAATAAACCAAATTGTTTCAACACAACTATTCAAAACCAGTTCAGTCACACAATTAATCACTTTAGCTTTATGTTCCCAATTGTTATTGATGGGTTATATGGTTTTAAACAATCACGAACCCAACAGTTATCCCCCAAATTACACAGTTTGGACAGCCACAGACGTTTTAACTTCTAATTAGTTTTCTAACAAAGTATACAGGTTTGTCATTCACACTCTCATGCATACGACAACACTCGCACTGTCTAACTTTTAAAGTACCTCCTATGAGCCTTCAGTCATAGCGTCGCACTGTCTAATCTATTTTAAAGTACCTCCTATGAGCCTTCAGTCATAGCGTCGCACTGTCTAATCTATTTTAAAGTACCTCCTATGAGCCTTCAGTCATAGCGTCGCACTGTCTAATCTATTTTAAAATACATCCTATGGGAGTCACACCCTCTAACCATAGGTCACACTGTTTAATTAAAATACATCCTATGGGAGTCACACCCTCTAACCATAGGTCACAGTGTTTAATTAAAATACATCCTATGGGAGTCACACCCTCTAACCATAGGTCACAGTGTTTAATTAAAATACATCCTATGGGAGTCACACCCTTAACCATAGGTCCACACTGTTTAATTAAAATAATCCTGGGAGTCACACCCTCTAACCATAGGTCACAGTGTTTATTTAAAATACATCCTATGGGAGTCACACCCTCTAACCATAGGTCACACTGTTTATTCGCTTTAAAGTGCCACCTATGAACTTCTAGTCATAGTTTGCACTCCCATGGGTTTAACCATCACAATTATCAAACATTTGCATAGTACATTATGAAATCGAAATAGTATACTGTAATTGTTATTTATAGTAGAATAGGGTTCACTTACATCAAACAGGTGTTTCACAAAATTAATTTGGATAAAGCCAATGTGCAAAACTTCAGTTATATTACAATAGGTGTTTTGCTTACCTTTTTAAAAGCCCGGGCAATTTGTGAAACACAGTTCGATGACAGTGATGTCCAATAGGCTGGGTGAATTCCAGCGAAGTGAAGTTCCGCTACCAGATCACAGTCGGAGGTCACCAATTGTTATGATTGCGTAATTCAAATCTGGTATTGGAATAAGAATCAAGAGATCTTCAATCCAAGCTTAATTTATTATATGCAAAATGTATTGTATGATAAGTATGAAGGTTCGTATACGGGCTCACTGTCAAACCACGCAGGGCCGACAGAGAACTAAGAATCTGTTTTCAGATTCTTTCTCAAATACTCTGACAGAAAGCAGTCCCTTCTTCTGTTGGCCAACCAGAGCAAAGGACTGAGTGTGGTTCAGCCAATCCGTTGGCGCAGGGGTGGGCCCAACTCCTCGGCACTCCATTTGTTACTAGACATGGTTGCTATGATAACCTGCGAAAGTCAGCACCCAGAAATACATCATCCCACTGTACTCAATGTTCAAGGACAGTTTCACAGAATACAAAGAGAGAGTGTTCGCAACACAAGTCTTATCTGTCCTACCCCCAATGTTCCCCACCCTGTTATGTGAAACAATCCATATCAGTATATTGCTCCTCATTAGTGCATTCCTTCCAAGCTATCCATCACATACAGATCCAATTATGAGAAAAATAAAACCCAACACATCTTACCAAGGATTATCCAACCATAAAGCTGTGGTTTCGTTTTGGTATGGGTCAAACCTACCAGGAGATTTGCATCAACACCATCTGCGAAAAATAGTGTCAAACTAAGCAGTGTACCAAACAAGAGTTTGGCTAACAAGTCTGAAAACCATCCAATTGGCACCTTCACCAGAAAGATTGAGGGACAGTTGATTCCTGGACATCTTTGGGGACACTCTTACCGACGGCTGCCAAAGCTTGCAGAGAACTCCTAAAGGTTACTGCAAGCTTCACTCCATTGATCTACGTGGGTGGAGTGTTATCGTTGGAGTAGCGGACACCTTTTGGTAACGCGATAACCTCGCCGGTCCCACTCCCATTCACATGCGATGGCAAAGTTTATTATAACAGTTTTTTTTTTTGTCTTTTCATTTTGTGGAAGTAAGGAAGAGTCATCTTTACTTGCTAGTAGTAGTAGCTAGCTGGCTTTATCCTGTCTAGCTGGCCTTATCCTGTCTAGCTGGCTTGATCCTGTCTAGCTAGCCTTATCCTGTCTAGCTGGCTTGATCCTGTCTAGCTAGCCTTTTTAGCTTCCCACATCTCTATGTGAAAAAATATGCCCTTGCAAACGTTCTTATACTTGCCGGTGTAACCTAAAACATTATCCCAGTTTGATATGCTGCTTGTGTATCCATATCAGCTAAAAATAGAACGTCGTCATGTTTTGGTCATGGAGATAAAACAGCCCATGGCTAGCTGGTTGGCTACAGCAGGTTCTACCCTTTCACAATAGCCTGGAATCACTGGTGATTACTTATAAACAAAATACCTTTATGAGTGGGTTCTTGTTGTTTGGGTTACTGTTTGAACAGTCGCTGAGATTATATTTGGTTATCAATGCAAAATAGGCTACTTTGATGAATAGCCCATATAACCTATAGATCAGATCAAGGAACCAAGCGACAGCACTGCCCACACGGCTTCGGCAGGATTGATACGGCGGGTCTCAGTTTTCAGGTAAACACTTGAATCTTGTGGAGCGTATTAAAACAACATTGCAACACTCTGAATCTTGCGGAGCGTATTAAAACAACATTGCAACACTCTGAATCTCTCTTGTAGTAAGCTATAGGTGTGGCTGCCAAAGTGAACCCCTCTGTTCTCGAAGGGTCGATGCCACGATGCTGGATTATCATGCACTGCATAATGCCGTTGTGCTGGCAGGGCCCTAAGTATTTTTTTTTTCCACTAATCAACACTTAAAGGGGCAATCAGCAGTTGCTATATCAATTGTTGTACTTATAAATTAATGATCTGTACCCATTGATTCTTGAAGAATATTAATTATAAATGCCTAGTGCTTAGTTCAACTGTCGTTCCCCTTCAGAACCCAAAATACAAGCTTGTATTACTCCAATGTTTGTAAACAAAGTCAAAGTTAACAAGCACTATACAGCCTCAACATTTAACTATCATTTTTATTTCAGGATTGGTCAGTCCTTGCATCCATAGCTCTGTCTATGAATTTAAGTGATTAATTTCTCCGGCCCCATCCCACTTTTTACCGAAACAAGGGCGGGGAGGACGCTTTATTGTTTCAACTGATGATTTCCGCTTTAAGGAAAACATTTGTATTGTTACTTAATTGAATGTTTTTATGAAAATTTAACTTAAGCTATTTTAAACATGACTACGGATTCATTACCATCTACATCGGCGGCCATTTTGAATTGCGCTTCCAAGTTAAGTTTGAAATGAGCACCCCTTCTAGGATGTTTTCATATCATCTGAGGAATGTTTGTACCAAATTTCATGCTTGTATCCACCTTTGCAGCAAAACATTGAAGGCCTCAGACTACTAGCCCCATTAGGTTGCTAGGTTAGATAGCTATTCTAGCTACTTACTGTAGCTACGGCTTGCCTGGGATAAGCACCATATCATATGGGATGATTATTAGTCACGTTGACTTTTACTAGTGATCACATCATTAGTATACAAATAACATCATCAAACAAATATCATCATAAAACAAATAACATCCAGTGATAATAATAAATAATAATAATATGCCATTTAGCAGACGCTTTTATCCAAAGCGACTTCCAGTCATGCGTGCATACATTTTTTGTGTATGGGTGGTCCCGGGGATCGAACCCACTACCTTGGCGTTACAAGCGCCGTGCTCTACCAGCTGAGCTACAGTGATAGCATCAGTATTTGTCCCAAATGGGACTTGAAGACGGGCATGCCAATGGTGGCGATTAGATAATGCCAGCGGTCATATCAGACTGGCTTAGCTAGTGGAATTCAACGATGGACAAATAAATAGTCTCCCGAGTGGCGCAGTGGTCTAAGGCTGTGCCACTAGAGATCCTGGTTCGAATCCTGTCGTAGCCGGCCGCGACCGGGAGACCCATGGGGCGGCGCACAATTGGCCCAGCGTAGGGGAGGGAATGGCCGGCAGGGATGTAGCTCGGTTGGTAGAGCATGGCGTTTGCAACGGCGGGCTTGTGGGTTCGATTCCCACGGGGGGCCAGTATGAAGAAAAAAAAAAAAAAAGTAAAAATAAGTAATGTATGCACTCACTAACTGTAAGTCGCTCTGGATAAGACCGTCTGCTAAAATGACTAAAATGTCAAATGTCAATAATATAGTGTGTGATATGGCCCTAGTGGTAACTAGTGAACTAAATACATGACTGGATGCAACATTCTGAAGCTTACATCCATTTGTCCCTAACCGTGTTTTTTTTTCTCCTGTTTGTAGGATAACTGGGATGATGAAGAGGAGGAATTAAAGAAAGCAGAAGAGAAAAAAGCAGGTATTTTAAACCAGTTATGAATTGAACCAGTGAGATCCTACTAATATTCATTTTAATACAAGCTCAATCATATATATTTTTTTCCATTTGTCTTTGTAGCGGAGACAAAACTTTCGGAAAAGAAGAAATTAGCTGAAAAAATCAAAGAAAAGGAGAGTTTACAAAGGAAAAAACAAGAAGAGTTGAGAAAGAGGGTTAGTGTGTTTTTGCATGCAGGGGTTTTTGCTTGTCGGTGCTGTGAAGATGACCATGACCAACCAACCTACTGCAACTAGTTTGCTTCTCAAAATTCAGCGGAAACTTGACTTTTGCTTTATCAAATCAAAGTTTATTTCAAATCACTAGAAGAGCCTATCATTTGGCTTGGGTCCATATTAGGAAACTAACTAACTGTATTGCATCCGGTTTTCCAGACCCAGATTAAGCCTCTAAAATCACCCCCTAACGGTTTCACACAGCGTCCATGAATGACAAGTCATTGTCTGCCGGATCTGAAATTATATTTCTTGTTTGTTAGTTAGAGGAATCCCAGGAAACAGAACTCTCACCGGAGGATGAGCTAGCAGAGAAACTCAGAGTGAAGAAGCTACAGGAGGAGGCTGATCTGCTATTGGCTCAGGAGGCTTTCGGTAAGAGACCTGTATTACAGGAGGAAGTGTAAGTCTCTGAATAAGAGCGTCTGCTAAATGGCTCAATGTACAGGAAAAGGAAAACCTGTTTGTCATGAGCTGGTCAGTAAGCAAATAATGGTAATGCATAGAGCCATATATATATATATATATATATACACACACACAAAAGTATGTGGACAACCCTTCTAAGTAGTGGATATGGCTGACAGGTGTATAAAATCAAGCACACAGCCATGCAATCTCCATAGACAAACATTGGCAGTAGAATGGCCCGTACTGAAGAGCTCAGTGACTTTCAACGTGGCACCGTCATAGGATGCCACCTTTCCAACAAGTTATTTCGTCAAATTTCTGCCCAGCTAGAGCTGCCCCGGTCAACTGTAAGTACTGTTATTGTGAAGTGGAAACGTCTAGGAGCAACAACGGCTCAGCCGCAAAGTGGTCGGCCACACAAGATCACAGAACGGGGCTGCTGAAACACGTAGCGTGTAAAAATTGTCTGTCCTCGGTTGCAACACTCACTACCGAGTTCCAAACTGCCTCTGGAAGCAACGTCAGCACAATAACTGTTCGTCGGGAGCTTCATGAAATGGGTTTCCATGGCGAGCAGCCACACACAAGCCTAAGATCACCATGCGCAATGCCAAGCGTCGGCTGGAGTGGTGTAAAGCTCGCCGCCATTGGACTCTGGTGAAGTGGAAACACGTTCTCTGGAGTGATGAATCACACTTCAACATCTGGCAGTCTGACGAACGAATCTGGGTTTGGCGGATGCCAGGAGAACGCTACCTGCCCCAATGCATAGTGCCAACTGTAAAGTTTGGTGGAGGAGGAATAATGGTCTGGGGCTGTTTTTCATGGTTCAGGCTAGACCCCTTAGTTCCAGTGAAGTGAAATCTTAATGCTACAGCATACAATGACATTCTAGACGATTCTGTCCTTCCAAATTTGTGGCAACAGTTTTGGGAAGGCCCTTTCCTGTTCCAGCATGACAATGCCCCCGTGCACAAAGCGAGGTCCATACAGAAATGGTTTGTCGAGATCGGTGTGGAAGAACTTGACTGGCCTGCAGAGCCCTGACCCCAACCCCATCGAACACCTTTGGGATGAATTGGAACGCCGACTGTGAGCCAGGCCTAATCGCCCAACATCAGTGCCCATCCTCACTAATGCTCTTGTGGCTGAATGGAAGCAAGTCCCCACAGCAATGTTACAACATCTAGTGGAAAGCCTTTCCAGAAGAGTGGAGGCTGTTATAGCAGCAAAGGGGGGACCAACTCCATATTAATGCCCATGACTTTGGAATGAGATGTTCGACGAGCAGGTGTCCACATACTTTTGGTCATGTAGTGTGTGTATATATGCATGATCAATATTTAAGGTTGACAGTCTACACATTGCAGATTCATAGAAAGCTTTACAGAGAATCTGTGATATAGCAGACATTTTTCTATAAGTATCAAGAGGTTTAGACATTGTCAACACAAGTTGTCAGTGGAACGCTTCATATCATAGTGATCAAATCATTTTCCCTTCCCAAATCAGGTGTCGTCAACAACGTAAAAGGAATTGATGCAATAAGCCCTTCTTCTAAAGATGACTTCACAGAGTTTGAAAAGTTGTTAAAAGATAAGATATCCCCTTTTGAGAGTTCCATACACTACGCCGGTTTCCTAGAGACCTTGTTTCGAGACCTCTCTCTCTCATGTGAGTATTGATTTTAATAATATACATTTCAAAATTAACCAGTGTTGTTGGTCATGCATATCAACTGTCAGTAGTGCTGTGTATATATGAAATCATCTTTGGACTGTGTGCCTCATGTTACAGTGGAAGTGGAGGACTTAAAAAAAGTCAGCACCTCCCTCACAGTCTTACTAAGTGAGAAACAGAAACAGGAAAAGGTACTTTTTTCTTTTCTTATTTTCTTCAAATGACAGACAAGACATTTATCACCAGTGTACATGGTCTACTTTGACTGGTATTCAGTCTTATCCGGGGTCATGTTCATTAGGCATCAAACGGAAGAAAACTGACTGCAACAGTGAGGTACTACCTGGAGTTGCGTGCCCTAATGTAAATGACCCTAATGAAATGTGAATTCCTGTGATTTATAAAGTCCGTACTAATCATCCCTCCTTTATTTCCAACAGCAGCTGAATAAAGGGAAGAAGAAGAAGAAAGGAGTGCTTCCTGCCGGAGGGATGAAGGTCAAGATGAAGGATGACCTGGCAGACTACGGCGAGTTCCAGGGAGGTTACGCACAAGACTATGAGGACTTCATGTGATGTGACGCCAACCGACTGCCGAGTCCCAAATGGCTCCCTATGTAGAGCACTGTATAGGGTGCCGTTTAGGAGTCTTCCACGGTCTGTCCCATTCCCTCTCCGCTCTGCTCTGCTCGATCCAGCCACCTCAGAACATGACCTATGACCTATTCTACTGCCCAAAGCCATCCAATGAAAACCACCCTTGTGTCGCCAGCCGCACACAAAGTTGATTTCTGAAAGAAGTGTTGAGTGGTTTGACGAAGAACAGGAACGTCTGATCTCAACATGGTTGTTTTTCCTCCTCCTTTAGAAATGACTTCCCAATAAGACTGTTCTGGATACCAAAAATGTTTCACCTCCCATGTTGAGGTGCAAAAACACAGCAGCATACTCGTGTTTTTCCCAATCCTAGAATGAATTCAATTTGATCTTTTAATAGAAATGGTCTGTCAACAAAAAATGAATTGTTACTGTTTGACGAAGGAAAATACATTTTGTGTTCCATTATTTTTCTCAAGTATTATTAAAGAAATGTGTTTTACTCGAAGGATGGCTGTTGGCATTCCAAAATATAACCTGCGTTGTTTTGTAAAGAATGTCATTTTGGTGCTCATATATTCCATATATGGGAATATATTTATCCTTGACATCACATAGTATTTGCAGGAGAAAATGTCCTAAAAAGACGAGGAGCTTAGGACCACTTGAGAAAAGCCACGTTGCGATGAACATGTTGGGTACATTTAGGAATATGTTTGCATGGTTACATAGTCTTGAAATATTTTTTTTGTAAATACCTAAATTCCTTGTTTTATAGGATGGTTAAAGAATGATTACTTCTAGTTGTAAGGGGGGATAATATTGCCTTGAATTTCTTCCCCCCTACATTATTTTAATTTTCTAGGAAAATAATTAAAATGTTACTATGAAGAAATCTAAGGTTAGGAAGTATTGAAGCCACAAGTCAATGTGTGAACATAGGCCCATATACTGCTGAAGTGAATATGATGTAACTATAGTCTTAAGAAATGATGGCGCTGGAAAATAATCTGTGATGTAGCATTTCAATACATAGCCATAGGGTACCTCCATGTCAATGAGAAAACACGGCGTTGGAACATTTCATCCTGGGCCTAGATTCACAAAGCGTCTCTGAGTAGATATGCTGATCCAGGTTCAGGTGCCCCCCTCGTATTCATTATGATCAGGAAGGCTAAACTGATCCCAGAGCAGCACTGCTACTCTGAGAACCCAGTGTATTGTATAATCACTTCCACTGAGTTGAATGCAACAATCATTCTAGGTCTCCTTGGCATAACTTTGCACGGCTTGTATCAAGTAAGGTGAGAAACAGCTCTTAAGAATGGACCAAAATGTATTAGGAAAGAAGGTTGTACTGTGATAATTAGTTTATTTTTTATTTTTCACAACACATTTTCAGGATTGGCAATGGAAATAGGCCACATTATATTAAAGACTGCACCTAATTTAATAAAATCATTGTTAAACTGATCTGTTCCTCATTTTTTGGAATTTCTGAATGCGTTTTAGAATTTGGATAATTTTTGGCTTATCAAATATGAAGTATTTTAATGTTGTTTATAGGTTGCTCTGCTAACTGCACAGAGCATAACGGGAAGTCTGGTGAACGAGTTAATAACTACCTTACGTCAGTAGAAATAACTACCTTGCATCAAACAGTCTCCATTGGGGGAGTTAATAATCTCATTCATCAGACGGGTTGAATCAACGTTGTTTCACCGTCATTTGTCCGCGTATTGTGACATGGGAATCTATGGAAAAGTCTTAACTTGGTTTTGAGGGTGAAATTTCAACCACAGTATTATGTAATGGTAACCAAATCTCAACATAGACAAACCTTGAGGAAAAAAGAAGAAACCCGCACGCTTCTCTTGCTAGTATCACTGCTATTTATTGAGCTTTACGTATCGGCCTCAAGGCAGAAAAAAAAAAAACTGACGAAGGCCTTGAGGCCGATACGTTACCATGCACCTGCAACAAAGATAGCTCAGATGTGCGAGTGCCTTTTGCATTTTGAACATAGACAAACCTTGCAATGCAAGTTGAACGTGTACCTTTGAAACAATGTCAGATCTTCAACGTTATATCCACTATCGGAAGAAAAGGTAAACAAACAGGGCTGGGCACTACCTTCTACTGGATAATTAATCTATCTACACCTACACTTTGGTCTCCCTTCCAGGGTTTTAACCAAAGCTAGCCTTGCTTAGCTATGATATATGTCACTGACTATTACCAATGTGCCATCATGAGTGAGTGTTGAGGGCTCCACTTAAAAACTAAATAGATTGACTGTTGCTATCGATCCATAGGACTGTTCTCTCTGCTTCCGCACGGCAAGCGGTACCAGTGCATCAAGTCTGACACCAACAGGCTCCTGAACAGCTTCTATCCCCCAAGCCTTAAGACTGCTAAATAGCTAACAAAATGGCTACACAGACTGAGTTGACCCTTGTATTTAATTGTATTTTTTTTTATTTTTGACTGTCTCTATGCACACTCACACTCCAACACACACACACAAACACTATAATTTGCTCGCACGCACATAATATGCACATACATTTCTACTGACTCTACACACACGCACACCCACAAGCTGCTGCTACTCTGTTTATTTACATTTGTACATTTTAATCATTTAGCAGACGCACTTATTCGTGAGGGCATACTTTTTTTTCTCCATTTATTTTTTATTTTTTATACTGGTCCCCCCGTGGGAAACAAACCCACAACCCTGGCGTTGCAAAAGCCATGCTCTACCAACTGAGCTACACGGGACTTGATTGGAGTCCACCATTATCATAGATCCTGATGCCTAGTCACCTTACCCCTATACATATCTACCTCCATCACTCCAGTATCCCTGCACATTGTTAATATGATACTGGAACTGACTGACCCTGTATATAGAATGTTTACTTACTTTCTCCTGTTCTTTTTGTTCTACCTTCTTCTTTTTTTGTAATACATTGTTATTGATTACTGCATTGTTGGGTTTAGAGCTAGCAAGAAAGGCATTTCACTGTACTTGTGCATGTGACATTAAAACGTGAAACTTTAATAGCTAAAGCACAGGGGATAACACATTAATCTTCTGTATAAATTAACAAAATATCCCATTTAAACTTTTCTGTGCTTTTAAAATGGAAAGCGCAGTGATAAACATTTGGTTGACAACTATACCAAAAATCTTACATTGTTTTTCCAATGGATTTTGGATGTGCTTTTAGATGGTTGAAAGCATGGTGATAACACATTCGAAATTCAGCTAACTTTTGCCTTTCCTTTTGTGATTTCGGAAAGTGTTCAGACTCCTTCACTTTTTCCACATTTGTTACGTTACAGCCTTATTCTAAAATGGATAAATAAACATGTCTCATCAATCTACAACAATACCCATATGACAACAAACCATTTTTAGAAAATTTTGCAAATGTATTAAAAAAAACAGAAATACCTTATTTACATAAGTACTCAGACCCTTTGCTAGAGACTCGAAGTTGAGCTCAGGTTCATCCTTTCCATTGATCACCTTGAGATGTTTCTACAATTGATTAATAATAAAAATATGCCATTAGCAGATGCTTTATCCAAGGACTTACGTCTCGTGCATACATTTTGTATGGGTGGTCCCGGTGATCGAACCCACTACCTTGCGTTACAAGCGCCGTGCTCTACCAGCTGAGCTACAGAGGACCACCTGTGGTAAATGATTGGAGTCCACCTGTGGTAAATTCAATTGATTGGACATGATTTGGAAAGGCACACACCTGTCTATATAAGGTCCCACAGTTGACAATGCATGTCAGAGCAAAAACCAAGCCATGAGGTCGAAGGAATTGTCCGCAAAGCTCCGAGACAGGATTGTGTCGAGGCACAGATCTGGGGAAGGGTACCCAAACATTTCTGCAGGATTGAAGGTCCCCAAGAACACAGTGGCCTCCATCATTCTTAAATGGAAGAAGTTTGGAACCACCAAGACTCTTCCTAGAGCTGGCCACCCGGCCAAACTGAGCAATCGGGGGAGAAGGACCTTGGTCAGGGAGTTGATGGTCACTCTGACAGAGCTCCAGTGTTCCTCTGTGGAGATGGGAGAACCTTCCAGAAGGACAACCATCTCTGCAGCACTCCACTAATCAGGCCTTTATGGTAGAGTGGCCAGACGGAAGCCTCTCCTCAGTAAAAGGCACGTGACAGCCCGCTTGGAGTTTGTCAAAAGGCACCTAAAGGACTTTTAGACCATGAGAAACAAGATTCTCTGGTCTGATGAAACCAAGATTGAACTCTTTGGCCTGAATGCCAAGCGTCACATCTGGAGGAAACCTGGCACCATCCCTACGGTGAAGCATGGTGGTGGCAACATCATGCTGTGGGGATGTTTTTCAGCGGCAGGGACTGGGAGACTAATCAGGATCGGAGGAAAGATGAACGGAGCAAAGTACAGAGAGATCCTTGATAAAAACCTGCTCAGGACCTCAGACTGGGGCAAAGGTTCACCTTCCAAAAGGACAACGACCCTAACCACACAGCCAAGACAACGCAGGAGTGGCTTCGGGACAAGTCTATGAATGCCCTTGAGTGGCCCAGCCAGAGCCTGGACTTGAACCCAATCGAACATCTCTGGAGAGACCTGAAAATAGCTGTGCAACGACTCTCCCCATCCAACCTGACAGTGCTTGAGAGGATCTGCAGAGAAGAATGGGAGAAACTCCCCAAATACAGATGTGCCAAGCTTGTAGCGTCATACCCAAGAAGACTCGATGCCAAAGGTGCTTCAACAAAGTACTGAGTAAAGGGTCTGAATACTTACGTAAATGTCATATTTCCGTTTTTTATTTTTATAAATTTGCAAACCTGTTTTTGTTTTGTCATTATGGGGTATTGTGTGTAGATTGATGAGGGGGAAAAAAGATTTCATCCATTTTAGAATAATGATGTAACGTAACAAAATGTGGAAAAAGTAAAGGGGTCTGAATACTTTCCGAATGCACTGTATGTGGCATTGTATTGTGTGACAAAACTGCACATTTTAGAGTAATGATCATGACTGTTTAATCAACTTCTTGATATGCCACACCTGTCAAGTGGCTGGATTATCTTGGCAAAGTAGAAATGCTCACTAACAGGGATGTAAACACATTTGTGGACAACATTTGAGAGAAATAAGCTTTTTGTGCGTATGGAAAATGTCTGGGATCTTTTATTTCAGCTCATGAAACATGGGACGAACACTTTACATGTTGCGTTTAATATTTTTGTTCAGTGTAAGTCAAAAGTGTAATTCACCCACTCAGGAACATTCACTGTCTTCTTGGTAAGCAACTCCAGTGTAGATTTGGCCTTGTGTTTTAGGTTATTGTCCTGCTGAAAGGTGAATTCACCACCCTGTGTCAGGTGTAAAGCAGACTGAACCAGGTTATCCTCTAGGATTTTGCCTGTTCTTAGCTCCATTCAGTTTCTTTTGTATTCTGAAAAACTTCCCAGTCCTTAACGTTTACAAGCAAACCCATAACATGATGCAGCCACCACTATGCTTGAAAATATGAAAATATGGAGAATGGTACTCAGTAATGTGTTACATTGGATTTGCCCCAACCATACCCCTTTGTATTCAGGACAAAAAGTTAATTGCTTTGCCACATTTTTTGTAGTATTACTTTAGTGCCTTGTTGCAAACAGGATGAATGTTTTGAAATATTTTGTATTCTTCTTTTCACTTAGTCAATTAGGTTAGTATTGTGGAGTAACTACAATGTTGTTGATCCATCCTCAGTTTCTCCTATCACAGCCATTAAACTCTGTAACTGTTTTAAAGTCACCATTGACCTCACGGTGGAATCCCTGAACGGTTTCCTTTCCTCTCCGGCAACTGAGTTAGGAAGGAAGCCTGTATCTTTGTAGTGACTGGGTGCATTGATACACCATCCAAAGTGTAATGAATAACTTCACCATGATCAAAGGGATATTCAATGTCTGCTTTTTTTTCTTCATCTACCAATAGGTGCCCTTCTTTGCGAGCCAATGGAAAACCTCCCTGGTCTTTGTGGTTGAATCTGTGTTTGAAAATTCACTGTTCGACTGAGGAACTTTACAGATAATTGTATGTTTAGTGTTAAACACTATTATTGCACACAGAGTGAGTCAATGCAACTTATGTGACTTGTTAAGGACATTTCTACTCCTGAACCTTTAGGTTTGCCATAAGAAAGGGGTTGAATACTTATTGACTCAAGACATTTCAGCTTTTCATTTGTAGACATTTTTAAAAACATAATTCCACTTTGACATTATGGGGTATTGTGTGTAGGCCTGTGACCAAAAAATCTCAATTTAATAATTTTTTTATTCAGGCTGTAGCACAACAAAATATGGAAAAAGTCAAATGGTATGAATACTTTCTGAAAGCACTGTGCAGTTTAAAGGATGGATGGATGCTCAAAGTGGTCCAATTCATTGTTTAACGTAGTGCTACTAATTTTACACAGTACTACTAGTAGTAGTTTTACAAGTTTGACATGAATAGTAATGTATGGTTTAGGTTGTTAACCGTTCTTTTGTCTCATAAGCGGTGTGTTTTACGGCTGGAGACCCTGGATTTGGATTCCTGTTGCCAAGAATGCACTAGGGAGTACTGTTAGGCCAACCCTAATGAGATGTGCTCTGTCAGGTGGGTGGATATGCGTATCTGGACCGGGACGTCTCAGTCCAAACCCACAATCCGTTCTCTCTGTCCCTCCCCTCAGATTATATGATGTTCTTTCTGTTTTTCTTGACCTGGAAACACTCTTAGAATAACTTTCTTAAGAGTTGGGGGTCGATTTAAAATTTGAAGCAGTCAGAACAATTTCCTTGCTGAAATTAAGTGAAATTAACCCCCTGGCTCCAACTCTACCCCTCAGTTTCCCCCCCCCCCCAAAAAATGAATTTTCTACCATTTTCCTGTACTTTAAAAGCTCTATGAATGATCACTCCCCCCTCTCTCTCTCTCTCTCTCCCTGCTGCAGGTCAGTGTCCCAGGAGAAGCAGGGGTGTCATGGTACCTGCCATGTATCTGGTCCTGAGATCCCCGTCCTCAAGCCTCCTGTCCCCAGACCTGTGCCCCCCCCCGCAGACCCGACCTGCCTACTCCGCTTTGGGAGGTGTGTCCACAACCTCCTGGCTGACCCCACCACCACCACCACCACCCCGTCTGCCACTACAACCTACAGGTGAATGAGCTACAGGTGGTGGTCCTCCTCTCTTTGTTTCTATCATGTGTCATGCCATACAGGCTAGATGCCAAGACACAACTTCAAAATGATTGAATAATAAAACATATATTTTTTGTCAATAGTTTCAGAAGTTGACGGACTAACACATTTTCCCTTCCTTCACCAGTTTAAATCTTCTTTCTCTTTCCTCAACAGAGCAATACAGAGGGGCATGTTGTGTGCCTGGTGCCTGGCTGTCCAAATGCGGTGAACTGATGTCTGCTAAATGGCATATTATTATTATTTTTTTATTTTTTATTATTATTATATTATATGTTTTGCCTCTAGAACCCCTTCCCCTCACCTCAGATACTGAACGGCAGCTACTTTCAAATACACCATTTGAATAACTTGACAATAATTTAAAAAAATTGTTATACACCTCGCCTGTGTACAGTGTGATATGAATCTTTAATTTTGTGAATAAACAAATGGTATTTTGTATATTATAAAAAGTGTCTTGACATTTGTCCAAAAGCACTGATGTTCCATGCAGTGGAACAAATGACTGCTGTATGCTACATTGCTACTCCATTAACCTCAAGCTAATGACAGTACATGTGTAAAGTGGATGACACTGTAATTATACATCTCAATTGTATCTTTTTGCTACACTGCTCAAACAAGTTTGATCTTTTTGAGTAGGACTAATGGCATACATCCTTCTGAGCACTTGCTTCATTGTAATTGATGATTGACCAATAAGGCTGAGGGTAGGGGTGAACAGGTGAAGACAGGGCAATCCTCAAATCTCCTCCAGATCAAGCAGAGACAGTCTGCTACACCTGCAAAGCGGTTACTGAATAACAAGAGTCTTCAAGAGCTCACCATAACAGACCCAGTAGAAAGTGAGAATACAGCCAACAATGGCCTGGTTGTTCTCTGAAAGTCCTTCTGATGTTCTGGTTTATATTAACATTTCTTTAGTGAAGAAATAGTAAAAAAAAAAAAAAAAAAAAAAAAATTATTCACAAGCACTGGTGGTAATCTTTGTGCAGTAAGACAATGGCTGTCTTTGTTGAGCAGCCAAGTTATTGGTCAATCCACAGACATCTTGAATATCTCAGTTACAAATCACATGCTTCTGAGACTTCACACAAGATAAATCTAAGGTGATAAGGCTGCTTCTCCGTACAATTAGAATTCAAAAAGTTATTAGAAACACCACGCAGAAAAAAAGCAGTTTTGCAGGAAACAGCGTTCCCTGCACTGTCTGAATGCATAACAATATACAGTATATTATCCACCTTTATGTTTGGATGTTCAGGGGCAAATTTAAACTTTGCAGCTGTTATTTTCCAGAGGGAATACAAGAGAAATGATACTTAAAGGTTGAGAAGATATACATGTTTTAAAATCTAAATTGGCAGATAAGTGATTTGGCATTGTTGTTTTGGCAGCTATTAACTTTCTTCTGGAACCAACTCTGTTCTAATGCAAACGTTTTAATGAATCTGGTTCAAGAGGGATATTTATTGATTAAAATATCCGCTGAGCACTAGAATTGTTTAAATGTCATAAAATGCAAAACTAGAAATTGCATTTTGAAAACTGACCCGTTGCAAAATGTTTTCAGCTTGTAAGTAGAATATTGATAGAGGGTTGCACTACAGATTTCCATACACTATGACTCAAAAAGCATGTTAATTTACGTAATTCCATCCTTACTGACTAAACTAGTTTTTTTCTTCAATCCAATACCTTCTATTTCCAAGAACATTGTCAGGGACAGAGCCATCTTTTATCTGGACAGGGACTGACCAGACACTTTTTTGTTGTTGTTTTATTTTACTTTTTTTTATTAACAAATAAATGCATTGTTGGTTAAGGGCTGTAAGTAAGCATTTCACTGTAATGTCTGCACCTGTTGTATTCGGCGCATGTGGCCAATAAATTTTGATTTGATTTACATTGACTAGTTTGTGTATGGCAGACTCCTCAGTGAACAAAGCTCATATATCGCTCCTGTTGTTTTTCACTGATAATAAACACAGATCAGAATGGACCTTCAGGGTATCAGGTGTCATTAAGCATTCCCACTGACAGACAGGATGATAAAGTTACAATATGGAGGGAAGAGGAGTAACACAGACCAATAAGATTCCAGACGGGAAGTTACACCCCCTGTGGATGTATCTGGAAGTTACACCCCCTGTGGATGTATCTGGAAGTTACACCCCCTGTGGATGTATCTGGAAGTTACACCCCCTGTGGATGTATCTGGAAGTTACACCCCCTGTGGATGTATCTGGAAGGATGTATCTGGAAGTTACACCCCCTGTGGATGTATCTGGAAGTTACACCCCCTATGGATGTATCTGGAAGTTACACCCCCTGTGGATGTATCTGGAAGTTACACCCCCTGTGGATGTATCTGGAAGTTACACCCCCTATGGATGTATCTGGAAGTTACACCCCCTGTGGATGTATCTGGAAGTTACACCCCCTGTGGATGTATCTGGAAGTTACACCCCCTATGGATGTATCTGGAAGGATGTATCTGGAAGTTACACCCCCTATGGATGTATCTGGAAGATGTACTGGAATTCACCCCCTGTGGATGTATCTGGAAGTACACCCCTGTGATGTATCTTGAATTTACACCCCCTGTGATTTCTGGAAGATGTTCTGGAATTACACCCTGTGATGTATCTGGAGATGTATCTGAAGTACACCCTGATGTATCTGAAGTTACACCCCGTGATTTTTGGACAGGAGCTGAAACTTTTATTGACTCATACTCCATCATTTTGGATTTGAGATCAAAGTTTTTATGAGCGCAGTCAGAATGTCCCTATTTAGGGTATTTCATACATATTGGAAATTACGTTTAAAATGAAAGCACTTTATCTAGTCCCCCATTTGAAGGTTTCTAAGTATTTGGACAATTCACTTAAAGTACATTACATTTGTAATGTTAGATTGGTCCTATTCCTACAGAATGACTATTAAGCAGTGTCTAGCGGTGTGCAGTGTTTGTGTGTTTCAGATTATGTTGTGCCCAATAGAAATGAATGGTAAATAATGTATCGTGTCATTTTGGAGTCACTTTTATTGTAAATAAGAATAGAAGTTTCTGAACACTTCTACATTAATGTGGATGCTACCATGGTCAAAGACTCCAGCCACCCTAGTCATAGACTGTTCTCTCTGCTACCGCACGGCAAGCGGTACCGGAGCGCCAAGTCTAGGTCCAAAAGACTTCTCAACGCTTCAAACCCCCAAGCCATAAGACTCCTGAACAGCTAATCATGGCTACCCGGACTATTTGCACTGCCCCCCCACCCCATCCTTTTTACGCTGCTGCTACTCTGTTAAGTATTTATGCATAGTCACTTTAACTCTACCCACATGTACATATTACCTCAACTAGCCGGTGCCCCCGCACATTGACTATGCAACGGTACCCCCCTGTATATATAGCCTCCCTACTGTCACTTTATTCTATTGTATATATAGCCTCCCTACTGTCACTTTATTTTTTACTTCTGCTCTTTTTTTCTCAACACTTTTTTGTTGTTTTATTCTTACTTTTTTTGTTTAAAATAAATGCACTGTTGGTTAAGGGCTGTAAGTAAGCATTTCACTGTAATGTCTGCACCTGTTGTATTCGGCGCATGTGACCAATAAAATTTGATTTGATTTGATTTGATTTGATTTGGTTACGGATAATCATGAATGAATCACTAATATTGGTAATGGTGGAGACGTTAGCATGTTTTAGGGGCGTGATCTTTGTGCATCTGTAACTTTCTCAATCATTGATATTTGGAGTTTCAGTTTACTTCCTGAATTGACTGGAATTGAAATGGAATTTACGCCAAACCTGTTTGTTAGAGACATTAAGTCTCTGTTTGGTAGAAAGGAGAGTGCTGTTTGTCTATAGGTTTGTCATTGCATGTCACATTGTTGTACAACCACATTGCACAGGGACTTTGGGGGTTATAACCATAGCAGTTGTAATAACCATGTGGAAACAGCCTTAGGGGGTTATAACCATAGCAGTGGTAATAACCATGTGGAAACAGCCTTAGGGGGTTATAACCATAGCAGTTGTAATAACCATGTGGAAACAGCCTTAGGGTGTTATAACCATAGCAGTTGTAATAACCATGTGGAAACAGCCTTTGGGGGTTATAACCATAGCAGTGGTAATAACCATGTGGAAACAGCCTTAGGGGGTTATAACCATAGCAGTGGTAATAACCATGTGGAAACAGCCTTAGGGGGTTATAACCATAGCAGCGGTAATAACCATGTGGAAACAGCCTTAGTGGGTTATAACCATAGCAGCGGTAATAACCATGTGGAAACAGCCTTAGGGGGTTATAACCATAGCAGTGGTAATAACCATGTGGAAACAGCCTTAGGGGGTTATAACCATAGCAGTTGTAATAACCATGTGGAAACAGCCTTAGGGCGTTATAACCATAGCAGTGGTAATAACCATGTGGAAACAGCCTTAGGGGGTTATAACCATAGCAGTTGTAATAACCATGTGGAAATAGCCTAAGGGGGTTATAACCATAGCAGCGGTAATAACCATGTGGAAACAGCCTTAGGGGGTTATAACCATAGCAGTGGTAATAACCATGTGGAAACAGCCTTAGGGTGTTATAACCATAGCAGTTGTAATAACCATATGGAAACAGCCTTAGGGGGTTATAACCATAGCAGTGGTAATAACCATGTGGAAACAGCCTTTGGGGGTTATAACCATAGCAGTTGTAATAACCATGTGGAAACAGCCTTAGGGGGTTATAACCATAGCAGTTGTAATAACCATGTGGAAACAGCCTTAGGGCGTTATAACCATAGCAGTTGTAATAACCATGTGGAAACAGCCTTAGGGGGTTATAACCATAGCAGTTGTAATAACCATGTGGAAACAGCCTTAGGGGGTTATAACCATAGCAGTTGTAATAACCATGTGGAAACAGCCTTAGGGCGTTATAACCATAGCAGTTGTAATAACCATGTGGAAACAGCCTTAGGGGGTTATAACCATAGCAGTTGTAATAACCATGTATACTGCACATACAAAGTGGAAGACAAAGATGAAAGGGAAATAGTGTTAAGTGCATAGTATGTATGTCCTATTTGCCCATGTCTCCTGTCTGTATGTCTGTCTGATTGTCTCTGTTAGGGAAGGCACTATGAATGAGAAGAATGGTTCATGTATATATGAACTATTCCTTCTCATAAGAAACTGTTTGAATATTCAGATGTTGAACTTGACACACTGCTCTTCCCAAGTCCTTAGTGTCATCCCTAGGGATGGAAGGGAAACCAGGGTTTAAGCCCACAGAAAGCCTCAGGCTGGGCCGACCGGGGCTGCAGTGGAAAAGTGCCATGACTCGTGTGATATCAACGGAAGAGCATGTCCTGTGATTAGTGTTGTCCAGTGATTTGATTGTGACGTCACCAGAAGAGTGTGGTCCTGTGATTGTGATGTCACCAGACGAGACCGTCTTGTGATTGTGATGTCACCAGATGAGACCGTCTTGTGATTGTGATGTCACCAGATGAGACCGTCTTGTGATTGTGACGTCACCAGAAGAGTGTGGTCCTGTGATTGTGATGTCACCAGATGAGACCGTCTTGTGATTGTGACGTCACCAGAAGAGTGTGGTCCTGTGATTGTGATGTCACCAGATGAGACCGTCTTGTGATTGTGACGTCACCAGAAGAGTGTGGTCCTGTGATTGTGATGTCACCAGAAGAGTGTGGTCCTGTGATTGTGATGTCACCAGATGAGACCGTCTTGTGATTGTGACGTCACCAGAAGAGTGTGGTCCTGTGATTGTGATGTCACCAGATGAGACCGTCTTGTGATTGTGACGTCACCAGAAGAGTGTGGTCCTGTGATTGTGATGTCACCAGATGAGACCGTCTTGTGATTGTGATGTCACCGGAACAGCCGGTTCCAGAAGGAGAGGAATGTGGTAGAGTTGAAGGCACCGATGAAGATGAGTAGCAGCAGGTACAGACTCATCATGATGGCAAAGTGATGTCTGACCGGCCACGACCTGCCCCGGGAATGTCTGGAAACACGTCACAAAATCACATTACAATCACGTCACACAAGTGATGACATCTAAGATCTAAAATAATATGACACAAGTCAAATGATCCTATCTGAGAGAAAATCTGAAGCAGTTACAGAACTGTCATCCTGTTGAAATGTTCATCAGTTCTACTAAATGTACTGGCAACCCACCACGACACCACTAGAGGGCAGCGAAGATAACACAACTATCACAATTACCATACTGTTTATAGGAGAGTAGAGGCCTTCACGGGTCAGTTCCCGAAATGGACCTGGGGCTTTCCCATCCGGATCCGATGTGATTACATTTATTTTAAAAAAATATAGAAACCAGTTCCGAATGGACCCGAGGACAACTAGACCCTTTCCGTATAAACCTGGTTGGATCCAGACCCGGTCCGATCCGAGTGAGGGATGCTGCAGAAAAAGTACATATTTAACCTGCTTTATTAACCGGAGTTGATAAAGCGCAAAGGAGAGGAGAGGTGGCTCTCTAGCAGGAACCGTGTTGCGTGTGGAGACTACTGGGACTGTCATGGGAAACAGGGAGGAGAGAGGGACAGACGAGAGTCCGCAACCAACCAAGCCGACTCGCACTACAGGAGACTAATAGCTGCCATAGTTATGTTATTTATGATGTAATGTGATTACGTAGTACCCGTCTGGAATGCATCAAACCGGGAGAAGCTAGTTAAGCTAGCTAACGTTAGCTAGCTAGGCTAACTGAGGCGGCATTGGCTTTCCCGTCCTACACAGTTACATACAACAACTCAATTAAAAAATAGCAGCCTACCTGTTCGTGGTCGTTGTAGCCCATCCTGCTCCTTTAACTTTTAATTCTCTCTCTCTCTCGACTCGTGACAATCATATCATATCTGACCCTTGACATTATTTACAATTCTGGATCGGGTACAGGTGGATCCCTGAAGACCTCTATCACAGAGGTGTCACCCTCTGATATAAGTGTGTACCACTCCATACAGGCTGTCTTCTCTGAGAGTACACTAGCAGGTACTGAACTCCCGAGTGGCGCAGTGGTCTAAGGCGCCGCATCGCAGTGCTAACTGTGCCACTAGAGATCCTGGTTCGAATCCAGGCTCTGTCGCAGCCGGCCGCGACCGGGAGACTCATGGGCGGCGCACAATTGGCCCAGCGTCGTCCAGGGTAGGGGAGGGAATGGCCGGCAGGGATGTAGCTCAGTTGATAGAGCATGGCGTTTGCAACGCCAGGGTTGTGGGTTCGATTCCCACGGGGGGCCAGTATAAAAATGTAAAAAATATTCACTAACTGTAAGTCGCTCTGGATAAGAGCGTCTGCTAAATGACTAAAATGTAAACCCGCTCCTGCAGGTTCATGCTCTACAACATTCGGAGAGTGCGACCCTGCCTTACACAGGAAGCGGCGCAGGTCCTGGTCCAGGCACTTGTCATCTCCCGTCTGGACTACTGCAACTCGCTGTTGGCTGGGCTCCCTGCCTGTGCCATTAAACCCCTACAACTCATCCAGAATGCCGCAGCCCGTCTGGTGTTCAACCTTCCCAAGTTCTCTCACGTCACCCCCCTCCTCCGCACACTCCACTGGCTTCCAGTTGAAGCTCGCATCCGCTACAAGACCATGGTGCTTGCCTATGGAGCAGTGAGGGGAACGGCACCTCTGTACCTTCAGGCTCTGATCAGTCCCTACACCCAAACGAGGACATTGCGTTCATCCACCTCTGGCCTGCTGGCTCCCCTTCCTCTGCGGAAGCATAGCTCCCGCTCAGCCCAGTCAAAACTGTTCGCTGCTCTGGCACCCCAATGGTGGAACAAGCTCCCTCACGACGCCAGGACAGCGGAGTCACTCACCACCTTCCGGAGACATTTGAAACCCCACCTCTTTAAGGAATACCTGAGATAGGATAAAGTATTCCTTCTAACCCCCCCCCCCCCCCCCCCCCCCCCCCCCAAATTGTAAAGTGGTTATCCCACTGGCTATAGGGTGAACGCACCAATTTGTGAGTCGCTCTGGCTAAGAGCGTCTGCTAAATGACGTTAATGTGCCCTTGAGCAAGGCACTTAACCCTAATTGCTCCTGTAAGTCGCTCTGGTTAAGAGCGACTGCTAAATGACTAAAATGTAAATGTACTAACCTGGACAGGTGTCTTCTCTGAGAGTACACTAGCAGGTACTTGACTCTGAGGAGCTGATTGTTGGTGACCACAAAGTACTTCTGAGGAACCTCTCCTCCTTCACTGTTCCTGGCTCTGGAGCGCTGGCGATCAATGGTCTCTGAGTCTGAAACAGGTTTAGGGAAATTATTACTGGCTTTGAGAGGCAGCCATTGTTGCATGGTCCACTCATTTGTTGTGCAAGAGGCAAACACTAAGAGAACTGACATGGGGTAGGACGAGCTAGAGAATATTCAGGGTGCCTAATTAAATAAGAGTGTTGTGTAAATGTTCTGGACAAAGCTCTGACCTTTTCTCTTCACCTGGCACTTAACGTCCGGGTGGTCGATGACCTCACACATGGCGACACAGCTTAGCAACGGTCCCAGGAGACTGTCACGCCAACCGTTGCCATGGGGACTGTAGAGGACCGCCATGCCGAGGTCACTGGTGAGGTAGGTGCCCTCCCCGAACAACGACGTCTGTAGAGAAATCACCAAAAACAAGTCTGTCAAAAACGCAACTTCATCAATGCAAGTCCATTCCTTTTGTAGCTAATACTGGCTTTTGTCTAAACATAAAAATTATCTGTGAAAATATCAATCAACCAACCAATAAATCATCAATCTGAAAATCTATACTGAAGCAGGGCTACTGGGAACAAAATAAATATAAGGATCATCATCACAGGACTGGTGAAGCTGCAATCTTCCTGTAACTCCACTGACCTTGTTGAGGTGGCAGTGTAGTCCGTTGTGGATGATAGAATGAAAGTTCTCCAGTCGGCTGCCGTGGAATGCATACAAGAGGTCGCGTCCCGCCCGTGTCTTCTCAAACTTAGCGTTCATCTGGTCGCAGTACTCCAGCTCAAACAGGAAGTCTGGGACAGGCGTGGAGATCCCCTCACTCTCAGTCAGGTTACACAGCTTGGCATACTATTGTAGAGCAGCGGAGAGGGCAGCGGAGAGGGCAGCGGAGAGGGCAGCGGAGAGGGCAGTGGAGAGGGCAGTGGAGAGGAGAGGGCAGCGGAGAGGGCAGTGGAGAGGGCAGTGGAGAGGGCAGTGGAGAGGGCAGTGGAGAGGGCAGTGGAGAGGGCAGCGGAGAGGGCAGCGGAGAGGGCAGCGGAGAGGTCAGTGGAGAGGGCAGCGGAGAGGGAAGTGGAGAGGGCAGCGGAGAGGAGGGAACAAGCATGTCAAATGTAATATACTAATGGAGAGTCACGTGAGAGCAGGCAGGGACATCGCTCAAAGAATAATCTCTCTGAGAACATAGACTAAGGTGATATCTGAAGATACTTGTTGCAGGAGCATGGGAAATGTTCAACCATAACTTAAAAGAAAAGAAGATCCCAAAGAAGTGCAGTGTGTATCCTGAACACTTATTTTCCTTAAGAGATATTATTGCCTTTACCTCGTCTTTCTGTAGTGTCTTCACAGCGAAGCTCTTGGAGGAGAGAACCCAGTGTGTGAGGGCCAGATGATGGTCTGCTTCACCAGGTCTCAGTCTCACCAGCTCCCTCACACCAGGCAAACTGCTCACATCTGACAGCTGGAAAGAATACAAGAGCAGCGTCATGTTCATTAGGCACCAAACGGAAGAAAACTGACTGAAACAGAGAGGAACTAACTGGACTTAAGAAATAAGAAATGCTCCATTTCATTTTCCACTGCAAAAGGTTCTAAAAACCTTTTCTGTTGTGTGCCATGAACACGACCCAGACTATAACCAGTAGACCCAGCTATTACCCAGTACAGCTGTAGGACAGGACAGGTGTGGTGTACAGTGATGGTGAATAACATGCTTGACTTTTAGGCAGAGAGCCTGTATCTGAAGGTTTGAATTATAAGTTAAGCATTCTCTTTGATATGGAAAATATCAAGAGTTTTCTGTCCTGTCCGATTCCTCACCAGCTCATCAAAGTCCTTGGTGTCTGTGTCTCTGATGTATCTGGGGGGGTAGGGTCTGAGCACTGAGTCCCTCTTGTAGTTCTGAGCAGCGGCCACAAACAGGCTGCATCTCAGGTCAGCGGCTACTGGGTCTCTGTGAAGACAGGAACACACCAGCTCTCTGACTGCATCCAGTGGGAGTGGTGGCTGCATTCCCAACACTGTAGACACAGGAGATAAGAGACATGTGTTTCAGGTCTTAGGCGTGGGACACAACATCATAGACAGATAATAGTGTACCTGAATAAACAGGATATTGATTCTGAGAACAGTCCTACTTACTGTGTGAAACCATTCAAAATGTGTCTGGATCCTTCTAATCAGAATTGATTCAGAAAAGCATTATTGACCTAGTTGACTTGTTAACTTAATATCATATAATATAGCCTTTGGAGGTTGAGTGCAAATAGGATTATAACTTGCTCGCCAGCCACAGGCCATAGCTAGATAGTTAGTGATGTTTACATAGTTGTGCCCACATATGTCAACAAAAGCTGTTAGTTCATTATGGCAATGTTAAACAATCAATACGCTTCGTTTGAAGAGACAAAATTCTACTTTACAAACGTAGCTTAGGCTTTACCTTAAAAACCCTTGGGTCAGTCATAAACTAATTAATAAACAGTGAAGATGAAAGAGTTAGCTAGCTAGCTAACTAGATGAAGCTGGGTAGCTAGCTGGATAGCTAACGTTAGCTTAGCATAAGCTAATTAGCATATCCGACGGACAGCAAGAAATGTGTCTCACAAACAATACCAAACCATATTTATGTACTTGTCAACTAGTAATTACGAGACTTTCGAGGAAATATAAAAAACGGAGTACTTGAAAAACATACCTGACTGAGACACAAGTAGCCAAGTTAGTTAGGTTATGACTAGCCGTACCAGAGATCCTTTTGAGGAGATGGGAAACTCCATTGACTATCGTATGAACACCCACTGTACTTTGCCCGTACATTGTCAATGGGTCACGCGGTGCATTCTGGGTAAACTCCGACAAGAAAATCTCTCCTTAAAGGAGTGAATTGGGCGCTGGCACAAAAACCCAACAAGAGCACGAATTACGTGAACATTAAGCTAAATATTACAAAACAAATCCAGCATTTAAGATAACTAACTTGTTCTCTGTAATATATTTTAACTTTGAAATCGTCACATTACGTACTTTCGAAGAAAATAGGCAGGTTTCTCGACTCATACCCTGATCTTTAGAATGGGAATGCTTAGCAACCGCCCGACGCAACATGACAACGTGGACGCGATTGGTCGAAAGTCTGCTGGGCGGAGCGTTATAAGTTGCTCCATTCAATTCCTGCTGGAAATCTTAACTCCTCCTTTTCTAATATCTCTGGATGTACTCCCTCTAGTCAGAACCAGTGGCAGTAGCTAACCAATTCCAATAGTGTTCAACTGCAGGCCGCATTTCAGGGCGTTCCTGCACTCTTTTGAATGCGGGTCAAAAGGGAAATAAAAGTATTAAAACAGTGCCCCGACAGGCGGTCGCCCCAGCCTCCCGTTAACACAGCAGACGGGAGTGACACCATGTGCTTGCTTGCTAGTTAGCTACTAGCACACGGTGTCGCCCCCACCTGCTGTGTACTGGAGTCCTCCTTAGGACTAGCTGGCTAAGCTAGCGCAGTGTCCTTCGTTCCCGCCTGCCCTCGACATCGTTAACAGAAGTGCGGGAAAACAGTGCCCGACAGGCGAGGGCGAAGGACACTACTGGTTGTACACAAGCTATAGCTAGCTACCGTTGTTGACCCGGCCTCTTCTGCGGGGTTTATCGGCGGTTGGCATCCAACGTTATGGTGCATTACCGCCATTGACTGTACTGGAGCCCCCTGCCGCCCGCTTATGTACTGGAGTCAACTCCCTTCCAGTGTTGCCAACTTGGCGACTTTGTCGCTATATTTAGCGAGTATTCAGAACCCTCTAGCCACACATTTTCAAAAAATCGACTAGTGACTTTTTCTGGTGTTATTGGAAACATTTGGAGACTCTGACGTGAAAACACGTCTCTTTCTTACTCTTCTCAATGAGCAGCGGGTGCTGCCGTGGGCCCCGGGCCCCACCCCCAGGGACCCCCATCCCAAAGCACTCACAGGCGGCCCAGTCCTCGCGTAGCAGTCCCTCCCAGCTGCAGGCAGACTGCAAATGAATCGTGCATGCGGGAAGCCGCCGCTGGCTGATCCCGCCCTGGCTTACATTCAGGAGGGGATGTAAATGTAAAATGTTCTTTGTCTGAAATAAATCACTGCACAAAAATAAATCACTGCATTTGACTCACACAGCCTCAGTCACTTACTCACCTCGTCCACTGTGTGTGTGCCTCTCTGTGGACATAAGCTAAACATCTAGCTGGCTAGCTCATCATGTCTCAGTCTAAACTGTACACAAACATGTTTATTTATTTATTTTATTTCACCTTTATTTAACCAGGTAAGCCAGTTGAGAACAAGTTCTCATTTACAACTGCGACCTGGCCAAGATAAAGCAAAGCAGTGCGATAAAAACAACAACAACACAGAGTTACATATGGAATAAACAAAACGTACAGTCAAAAACACAATAGAAAATCTATATACAGTGTGTGCAAATGTAGTAAGTTATAGAGGTAAGGCAATAAATAGTCCATAGTGCAAAATAATTACAATTTAGTATTAACACTGGAGTGATAGATGTGCAAGAGATGATGTGCAAATAGAGATACTGGGGTGAAAATTAGCAAAATAAATAACAATATGGGGATGAGGTAGTTGGGTGGGCTGATTACAGATGGGCTGTATACAGGTGCAGTGATCGGTAACCTGCTCTGACAACTGATGCTTAAAGTTAGTGAGGGAGATAAGAGTCTCCAGCTTCGGAGATTTTTGCAGTTCGTTCCAGTCATTAGCAGCAGAGAACTGGAAGGAATGGCGGCCAAAGGAGGTGTTGGCTTTGGGGATGACCAGTGAGATATACCTGCTGGAGCGCATACTACGGGTGGGTGTTGCTATGGTGACCAATGAGCTAAGATAAGGCGGGGATTTGCCTAGCAGTGATTTATAGATGACCTGGAGCCAGTGGGTTTGGCTCAATTGGTAGAGCATGGCGCTTGTAACGCCAGGGTAGTGGGTTCGATCCCCGGGACCACGCATACGTAAAAATGTATGCACGCATGACTGTAGGTCGCTTTGGATAAAAGCGTCTGCTAAATGGCATATTATAATATGTAGTGAGGGCCAGCCAACGAGAGCGTACAGGTCACAATGGTGGGTAGTACACTGCTCAAAAAAATAAAGGGAACACTAAAATAACACATCCTAGATCTGAATGAATGAAATCATCTTATTAAATACTTTTTTCTTTACATAGTTGAATGTGCTGACAACAAAATCACACAAAAATTATCAATGGAAATCAAATGTATCAACCCATGGAGGTCTGGATTTGGAGTCACCCTCAAAATTAAAGTGGAAAACCACACTACAGGCTGATCCAACTTTGATGTAATGTCCTTAAAACAAGTTAAAATGAGGCTCAGTAGTGTGTGTGGCCTCCACGTGCCTGTATGACCTCCCTACAATGCCTGGGCATGCTCCTGATGAGGTGGCGGATGGTCTCCTGAGGGATCTCCTCCCAGACCTGGACTAAAGCATCCGCCAACTCCTGGACAGTCTGTGGTGCAACGTGGCGTTGGTGGATGGAGCGAGACATGATGTCCCAGATGTGCTCAATTGGATTCAGGTCTGGGGAACGGGCGGGCCAGTCCATAGCATCAATGCCTTCCTCTTGCAGGAACTGCTGACACACTCCAGCCACATGAGGTCTAGCATTGTCTTGCATTAGGAGGAACCCAGGGCCAACCGCACCAGCATATGGTCTCTCAAGGGGTCTGAGGATCTCATCTCGGTACCTAATGGCAGTCAGGCTACCTCTGGCGAGCACATGGAGGGCTGTGCAGCCCCCCAAAGAAATGCCACCCCACACCATGACTGACCCACCGCCAAACCGGTCATGCTGGAGGATGTTGCAGGCAGCAGAACGTTCTCCACGGCGTCTCCAGACTCTGTCACGTCTGTCACGTGCTCAGTGTGAACCTGCTTTCATCTGTGAAGAGCACAGGGCGCCAGTGGCGAATTTGCCAATCTTGGGGTTCTCTGGCAAATGCCAAACGTTCTGCACGGTGTTGGGCTGTAAACACAACCCCCACCTGTGGACGTCGGGCCCTCATACCACCCTCATGGAGTTTCTGACCGTTTGAGCAGACACATGTACATTTGTGGCCTGCTGGAGGTCATTTTGCAGGGCTCTGGCAGTGCTCCTCCTGCTCCTCCTTGCACAAAGGCGGAGGTAGCAGTCCTGCTGCTGGGTTGTTGCCCTCCTACGGCCTCCTCCACGTCTCCTGATGTACTGGCCTGTCTCCTGGTAGCGCCTCCATGCTCTGGACACTACGCTGACAGACACAGCAAACCTTCTTGCCACACGGGCGCTACCAGGGCCGGACCGGGCTGACGACGCGCACCACTGGCTTGGTGCGGGGAGCAGGAACAGGCCGGACCGGGCTGACGACGCGCACCACTGGCTTGGTGCGGGGAGCAGGAACGGGCCGGACCGGGCTGACGACGCGCACCACCGGCTTGGTGCGGGGAGCAGGCACGGGCCGGGCCGGACTGGGAACACGCACCACTGGCTTAGTGCGGGGATCAGGAACGGGCCAGACCGGACTGGTGACACACACCACTTGCTTGGTGCGAGGAGCGGGACTGGGTTTCCTTATAAACCTCCGCTCCTTCTGCTGCCTAACCAGTTCCTCTCGCCGTGCCTCTACACTCTCCCTCTCCCTTAACGCCTCTTGTAGCTCCTCCCTCCGACCAATTAACTCCTGCTCCTTCTGGACCAATAGCCCTCCGTAACCTGGTGGCCTCCTCTCCTAGTCTGCAGATTCGCCCTGTAGCTACCTCCTGCTGCCCCGTCGTCCACGGCGTGTGCCCCCCCCAAAAAAATTATTGGGGTTGCCTCTCGCGTGTCCGTCGTCGGCACGGTTGGCGCCGTTTCTCCTCTCCTGCCTGGGCATTTACCTTTGCCCATGGCCCTTTCCCCGCGAATACCTCCTCCCATGACCACCATTTGCCCACCTGAGACATCGCTATCTTCTCCTCCTGGGCACGCTGCTTGGTCCT